AGTTCAGACGTGTGCTCTTCCGATCTCCCCAAAACCCCAAAACCCCATAAGACATTAAAAGTATAATATAGATGGTATTTAAAATAGTGATAATATTTTGTAAGATGATGATTGAAACAAAGAGATGGTTAATCAATATTATTTAAATTATTTGTCAATATATTATTATCGCTAGCTCAATTGAGATTTTTATGAAAGATGTCAGCTGTCGCTTCATATGTAAATCATATCACTCTCTCTTAATTCATATTGCTAGAACCAAGTATATGCTAAGGTCATACACGAAAATCATCATAAACAAAACCAACTACTTTCAGGTAGCGAAGACAATAAGTAAGTGGGAATTTATCTATACCGATTGCGTATACTTAAAGTGTTTATGCGCATGCAATTACTAATATTGAAGCAAGGCAAATCTATTAGTTTTAGCTCAAAATAATTATTCATATAATTTAAGGGTTCATTTCATTAATAACTGGTGAATTTAGTGAGTTTCAGAAAATGGAAAAAATTATAGATGAAGTCAATAGAGGAAAGATCAAGGAAAACGAAAAGACTCATAAAATAAAAAAACTATAAAAACTTGATGAGGATAAACTAAGAGAACTATTTAGTGATGAGGGTTCTGAATACTATGACGAGGAGGACTATGATGAAGAGGAGGAAAAGAAAGAGAACGTGATGAGTGGAGGTGATGAAGAAGAGGATATAGAATTTGATAGAGAGGATTAGATTATCCAAAAGTAAGAAACTAATACTCGTAAGACTTCAGATGAACTTGTCAAGAAAAGCTTCATTTAAAAAAGCTAAATGAATCCTAAAGTTGTAGACGAAGACGATGAAGATTACTCGCATGAATTCAGCAACAGTGACAGTAGTCCTAAAATTCCTCTTGGTGCTAATAACAATGTTAAGTAGGTCACCCTCAAGCTCAGATAGATGAAAAGACTTGATACCATTGAGGATGAAAATGCTAGAGAGGAAAAGGAGGAATTACTGGATTTGAAAGGATATGACAATGATGATGAAATAAGTGACATCAATATGCCTGAAATAGATGCCAAGAAAAACAATTCTGTAGTTCATACTAATAGGATGAAGCGCTATAACTCTATAAAGAAGATCAAAATTTAGCATTAATAAATGAAACTTAGACTTTAGCCTAATAGAAAAAATCCTCATAAGCCTGACAGTAAAGATCCTAGTCCATATACTCCACAGTCTGGAAAGCCGAAAATAAAGAGAAGTTATTCATTTGATGACTTTAAACTACTTAAAAATAAGCTGAAAAATGAGGTTGAGAAAAAAACGAACAAAAAGCTTTCTGAAAAGTATGTAAATTTCCTTTAACGGAAATTTAAGTCAGATGCTGAACCTTTTTCCTCATAGAAATCAATCTCAAGTTTAAAAAAGCAAAAAAGTAATGCTATGCTCGTAAGGAGGGCCACTGAAAATATGGACGTTTAGAAATTTAGAATAATGCCAAGAATAGAAATTTTGAAACTTGAGGATGATGACTGGGAGATCAGATAGCATAAACTGGCAGCTAAAAAGAAAGGAAAGAAAAAAAAGAAGAAGTCCAAGTCAAAATACACTCGATCCCCTACTCTGTTTCTTAGAACATCAGAGAATGACTCTCCACCTGTTAGAGTAAAGTCAGATTATGAAGTATAAACTCCTTCTAACATTAAAAGATTAGAGGGATCAACTTCAAAAGATGAGGAAGAAATAGTCAGGTAAACAGCAACAGCTCACTATAAATTAACTACAACAAGATATCATGGAATGATGAATGAGGAGTACAATGAAGATGACATTGAAATCATGAAAGCCAATTCCGAGCGAAATCTGATGAACTAGAAAGTAAGTCTAGCTATAAGAATTCAATCATCTTTGGAATAGACCAATTTTAAGATTATTAACTATAAGCTCAGGTTTTTAACATATTTTATAGATAAAGCAAACTGCACTTAAAAAAGGAATATTTGTCCTGATATCCACTATAATATTTATTATTGATGTAAGTTTTATAATATTAGGAAATTTCTTATTTTTACAATAACTTTCTTAACAAGTATATAATCATTTAACATTAACCTTATGTAGTCTGAGGTTTCGTGGACGCATACCTATAATTATGAGTAAGTAAGACTCACTACTAATGTGCTTCGAGCCTTCATCATGATGCTCATAATATCAACAACTTTCTTGGTAATCTAAAAGCATTACTATGCAGCGAAACTAGCTAGATTACGTCATTAAATTGCAGCGGAATAAAGACTCATTTTTAATATGAAAGAATTTCCTTTGTTTTTTGTCGAGTTGCTGATCTGTATTATCCACTTTCCGCCATTTTTCGATGCATATATCTCAGAAATTGATAATGCTTTTGTATTTCTGGCTTTTGCGTTTTTATTTAAGATAATTGCATGTTTGGAATTACTTCATCATTATTCTCCTCTAAACACTTCAAAAGGTAGATTTGTTGGATCACTCTCAAAAACTTAGATAACAACCTCTTTCTTAGTAAAGGCATGGATTAAATCTTACCCATTAATAGCTTTACCTTTGGGAATAACAACTTTTCTACTTTGTAACTCCTATGTAGTTTATGTAATTGAAAGAAGTGCTGTTCCTACTGATTGTTATGAAGTGGATAGATTGAGACATGATTATGGCTTCAAAAATTGTCTTTGGTTTTGTGTGATTTCTTTTTTGACCGTTGGTTATGGTGATTATTATCCCACAAGCATACCAGGAAGAACAGTCAATACTGTGGTCATCATAGGAGGTATGGTTTCTTCAGCGATCATTATTGGACTTGTGCATGAGTATATGTAACTCTCTAATGAAGAGTACCATGTCTTTAAATTCATTAAAACTAGAAAGAAGGAGTAACTTCGAAGGAAGATCGCTGCTAGATTAGTTTAGTTTATGCTCTAAATGCAAGTTTAGAGGGCGAAAGAGCTCAATAAAGCTAATATAAAATGGAAAAAAAATTCGAAGGTTTAGAACATTCGCAACAAGATATTTATGACTTTAGAAAAATGGAAGTCAATCAACCAAGACTTGTATGTAAATAACAGAAGAGAGGTTAACAGCATGTCTGAGATGAATGCAATGAGAAATATAGAGGAGATGCTTTCAGGAATAGTCATTAAGGGAGCTAATATTTGGGAACTTATTAAAACTGAAAAGCTACAGAGACGAATGGACATTGAGAAGAGTTTTAACAGATCTAAAAATGAAGTAGCCAGGATCAAAGATGAAATATCCAAGAATAATATATCCTTGTAAAGATTCAAGACTTAGAGATTTGGAAGTAATTTAAACAACAGCAAGATTTAGGATAAGTCACTGTTTAATAATTCTATGAGGAGAGTAATCGCCCACTCGTAAACTGACGGGCTTAACTTTGGGTTACAGTTCAATAATGCCGATATTTTGTCCTAGAGTACTTCTCAAGATAAATATCAATAAAGATTGAATTAGAATAAAAACATGCCATTAATCAACATCACAAATCTTGATAGATCTTCTAAAGTATCTAAATAGTAGGCTAATTCTGGATCTAATTAGAATTCCTCAAAGTTATTTGAACGATCTGACACTTCTTAGTCCAAGTAAAATCCTAGCTACTGGATGTATAGTTATTAAGATTAAAGAAATCACATTGGGATTGATGATGTAGATGAAAAGAAGCGTATTCGGATGCAAGAGGCTGAAGAAAATGAGGAAATGGAGTCAGAGATGCTCACAGATTCTGATATATCTGGAGGAGATCCACATTCACCCAGTGTAATGTCTGACAATGTTCAGTTATAGCTAAACAAGCATTTTTAAAACACAAGTTACACCTCTAAGAAGCATTTCTATAGAATTGATACGCCCAATAAATAGCCAAAAAAGCGAAAGAGATCAGATCGTGAAAGAAAGTCTAGCCTTAAGAGGACTATGACTACAGCTCCTAGTTAAAAAAATAGTCAGACGAGTTTAAATCATAGCAACTGCAGCCCTATAACCTCAAACGGCTTTGACCTAATTTTGATGACTAAATTTCCTAGATAGCAAACAAACATAGTAAACAGAGAATTTATCATTGAAGAAGACTTTGAAGAGGATTTAAGCACACCTATGTCTAAGTGTAATAAAAAAAAATAGAATACTAATAACAACTCTAAAAACGGCTTCTCCGATGCCGAAGCTGCAATCAGTCAGTTCTAGAACGAGAAGAGCTTTAATAACAACATTAATCAATCGAATTACTATCGCTAGGATACTATAGTTAAATCTAAAATCATGGGGACAGTCTCTAAGAGTTCATCTATGAGAAATAGGGTCAAGTTCTAGGATGAGGAAAGTAACACTAGTACTTATTATAATAGATTTAATAGTCTTAAGAAAAAGAGTACATCAAGGCAGCAAAATCCAAGCAAGTTCAAGAAAGCTACCAGGCAATTGTAGAACAAAGGTAATGGTGGTTCAGCAACTCAGGAGTTAAATTTGAACTACTTAGATTTGTCATAATTTAGATCTGATTAGTCACTTATTGATGCCATCAACAACCTGAAATACGATTAATTAATTGATAGAACTAAACAAAGATCTGATTAAAGAATCAAAAGATAAGAAACTTAATATTAATATGCGTAGACGACATCTGATGATGATGATGTGATCAATTAAAAAAGGAAAAAAATCCACTTTTAAATGAGCAACCTAGAAATTTAAAAGAAAATCGAGTATACTAGATTTAGGAAACGAAAATAAGACTAGAAGTTATTCAACTCTGATTCAAGCAGTTTATATGGTTCAACTTCTCTTGATCATTATCCAGACATGATACCAAAGAATAAGAACAAGTATCAGGATAAACTTATCAGTGTAGAAATCCTTGGAGAGGAATTAAAACGAGATGGGTTAAGTTCTGGAGGTGACTTAGGAGGATTTAATGACTACCTTAACATCTAAAAGAGGAAAAACAGTAAGACAAGCAGAAAGTCTATAAATCTCAAGATTGAAATCCCTGAAAAGGCACACGGACAGCCAAATTTTAAAAGTCAAGAATTTAAAAATCTTTCACCTGAACTTCATAAACTAAATATATATCCTTAGTATTCTGGGTCAGATAGCAACAATCCATCTTAGAAGCTTAGTAGCCAAAACCTAAACAACTAAGCGAACAGCAACTACCTGAGTGTAGTGCCATAAAATATCTTTGGCAATACACTAACTGCATCTGCTTATTCAGGAAGCTAATTCGGTGGTAAGTCTCCAATAAAGTTCAGAAAGCAAAACACAGCTTTTAGCGAGCAGAGTCTCAAAGAGATTCAAAAAATGCTGGAGCCTATCCAAGATACAAACAGCTAGCATCGACACAAGAGTTTGGTCCACAACTCACTTAATTTCAATCTCAGTAACAACCTTAGTGTTACAGCTGCCAATATCAACAAGGAGATTGTAAATGGGAATAGCAATGCTAAAATAAACACAAGCTAAAAAGTGGATAAGCAAATCAACAATAATGGCAACAACGTCACAAGTAGCAATACATCTTAGCATATTGGGAATAATCCTGCCTTGAATTTTAACAGCAGCTCATAGAATATGATTAATGTAAGCAATATAAATAGTGCTCTTGATAAGTCTTTTGCATTTTCACCTTAGAAGATACCAATACAGGAAAACTCAAATTTGATTAATATGGGTGGTGGAACTACTACTAATATCTAGAATAAATCCTAGTCAGAGATATAAAACATCTCAGGGAACATTAGATTAAATTTGGGCCTAGTTTCATAATCTAATATTATCCAGCATCACAATTAGAATTAGCACTAAGTGACTTAATTCCCAACTATCTATTAGCTTTAACTAATGTGCTAAAATCCATAATCTTCAGATAGCAATGGTAACAACAATCTAAATAACATGAATGGAAGCAATAATAACAATAACGTCATGATTAATAATAATAATAATGTATAATTAAGTAAGGAATTGGTAAATTTAAAGGACAATATCCAGAGTGAAAATTTGATAATAAGTGAGGCGCAGCAGAATCTTGACAATATTGATAAGAAATTTGAGATGCTAAAGCAGAGACTTCTGCACAAATTTTCTTTGTAAATCTAACCTTGAATCATGCATCTATGTATGTAATATATAGTGATTGCTTGCAACCTTGTAAGTATCTAGTAGATATAAACAATAGTAAGCATCAAGGAAATAGGCATTTCATATACTTGCTTAAATCTATTTTATTTCAAATTTTTGATGATTTATTTAATCATAACATCAGATTTTCATCACGGGGTTTTGGGGTTTTGGGGTTTTGGGG